GGCATTTAGAAACAAATGGATGTAATTTCAATGTTGCTATCAGCTAAGCGCATTTACATATTCGAGATGAAAAAAATATCATAAAATTACAAATGCCAATTCCTCGACCCGCTCCATTACTCCTTGACATCTCCAGATTACCCAAAATGGGTAATTCCACCCCCTATGAGAACCACTGATCCAGCTGAACTCCATGCAACGGAATGCATTCTCCGATCAGTTCAAGAATCGAATTTCCGGTTAAGTCTATGAATTATCACCTGCACAAACTACTATGGTATCGATGTTAGGTGGTGTATTTTGTTGATAATGTTTTGTGGATGAATATTAATAAATGCCTTTATTTGTGAAATGATAAAATATCACAAAAGAATTTCAGTGCGTTCGCATTCGAGCTAACATAACAAAATCAACCAATTTCATGAGGATGAGACAACAGAACACATCATTTCAAGAGGAATCGTGGAAGTTTTTCGTTTTTGACAATAAGATCAACAACAACAATAACAATGAATGATTTGATAAGGCAATCAATCATCTACGAGTAATTGCGATTATGGACAATAGATGAACAATACTATGAACATAAACGATTCCCGATGGCATCGGAGAGGGCCTTCCGGCTCATCGAGAAGTGCGAGTGATAATGTAATGAATTCAACTGAACAAGGAATGAGCATCGAATCGCATTGATCGGTGAACAAATTTATCAACACCGATAGAGTTCTGCAAAAAATCAACGAATGAACATCAATTCCGGGTGATGAAAATCAAATTACAATTGTATATAAGTACATTCAAATTAAGCGAAATTGCAACAAATTACAAAATATTAAATTCAGTTCAAATCAATTTAACAACGAAATCAGCATTATGTTGTTGTCATTGTCGTTGTCTCATTTTGAGACATATAAATAGCAATAAGCATTGGGAGATTTTGAATGAAGGAACGCAACTGAAGGCATTAAAGATGATTTTTCTCGATTCTGTAGTATTTGATCAAACAGATACTTGTTTGTTCGTTGGTTTATTTATTTGATATATTCATAAATGTATATATGGATTGTCCGGCATACATTCATATAGATACGTTTATATGTATGCAAATCTTCAGCGTAAAGTTATTGAGGACCGGAAATGACTACAAATGGCCAACAATAACAAAATGCAAGATTCACACAGAATCAAGAACGATAAATAAAGAATACAGAAGCCCGGCGCGCATTCTTGAAGATATGGCCAAAGATATCACGATATTGTCATTGCTGCTCGAATGCAGTCTCTTAACTGCGATTAAATCATTCGTTAATCTGGTTCAGTGAAGCCTCGAATACTGCTTTGCACAAATTTAATTGTTGATCAGTATGCCATGACTTTAGCCATTACTCTTTTCAGATAGCACAAGCCGAGCGTTTATGTACGGAAGGACACTACAAACAGACCGACGGGTTGCCTGGACAATGGTTGTTTTAACACTCAATTGGATATTGATGAAGAGTGCTTCAGCACGGGCAATTAATTCATTTGCTGATATTACCTGCAGCATGAGTGAACTTGAATCAGTTGAATGAATTGCCAATGCTGGATCGTTTGTATGTGTGTGCTGACAGATGGTGGTTTTTTTTGTGTGTACATCTTTCTGATGGATTGGAACGGATTTGATTTTGATATCAGCTGATATCTAGCAAAAGGTCATGATAAAATATGAAGGTTGTCATTGTGGTTTGCTTGACATTATGACATATCCTTAGAGCACTACTCGGTCGAATCAAATTTTGCGACTTCGACGTTGAGGTAATGCTGCTGATGAACCTGAAATTGAAATCTTGCATAATTTCAGATCATTCCGTAAGCATTCCGTAGAAAAAGCCAACTAGTTTGGTGCGACAGTGCAGTTCTTAGACTGTTAGCACTTCGCAATTTGCTCAGTTACAATATCTNGAAACTGCCTTGTTTTTTCCCGAAAAAGCATATGTACATGACGGAATAAATTGAAAGAGAAAGAAAGTTTGTCATGAAGAGAGAAAGCGTTGAACGGGCAACCAAATAAGCCTTGAAACTGCAATTTAATACCGTCGTAACACCACAAGTTTTTGGGAACGCATGAAACACTCTTCGAACGTGGACAAAATACAACACAACATAGGATAACGACAAAGAGGGAAACACGGCGGATCCGTTAAGCGTGACGATTTACCGATTAGTGAGACGATTCACGTAGCAAATTCAACGAACGTAAGAGTTTCGGAACAGTGACAAATGACAACACTGAAAATGGACAGGACAAGTAAGTTGAGGACGTGAGAATAATTGCGGTTTAATGAAATAAAAGTAGAAAATGATAAAACGATCGGATTAGAATGAAAAATAGTGGATGGGAAGCTGAAATGGGGTCTCATACAAAATACACTCGATAACAGTTCAGTGGGCTCAAGACAATTTTGCAAAAAAAAGCCAGTTGAGAAGTTGTTATAACAATATGTAGGAAATTTTTCGCAAGGCATAGCTAAACTCGATTTCAGGAAAGAAATTCGAACGCATAAAGCTGGTGGGAATTAAAGGTTAGAAAAACTGAACACAATTATTATGAGGCCACATGAAATTTAGCAACATCATTAAGTATATTAGTTGCAAGCGTTGGGAAATTATCTTAGTTAACAACGATATGAATGAACAGCAGAAAATCATATGATGAACAATGTTAATAACCTTCAAGTAGAATCTTTGCTCTGGCGAGGTCTTCTCCGTACGCATTTCTCACTGCGCACAGATACTCCCCGATATGGGTTTCGCCAAGCTGTAGTATCGAAAGTTCAGATGTTGTCGATGTCGATGTGATTTCGATTCCACCACGACCCGACGTCAGTTTCTGTTCACCACGGAACCACGAGACTGTCGGTTGTGGTGAACCCTGAAACACGGATTCTGTGAACACGCTGCAGATGCGCAGTCTAGTCCATAACAATTTATCACAGATCTTTTCTTGCTCCTTTGTTTTGTGAGGTAATTCGAAGACAATTGGATTCATGTGATAATTAACAAATTCCCAAAGAGATACCTTAAAAGCACATTTGAGAACAGCCGTCTGTCCGATTGGACATTGAATCGACATCGGCAACGTCGTGAACGCAGGGAGGACAGAATCCGAGCTGAAAACATGATAACTTCGGAGGACTGATAATATATTAAGTCAAAATTGACGGATTTACTCTCAAGTGAAATACCACTGATAAAAGCAATTCAATAACAAACTCGGTAATTTCGACGACTTCCAGTTGAATCTGAGCAGTGGCTGTTCCAGCACAGTTCACTGCTTTAAGATCATATTTACCGGCATCTTCACGTGTTGCATCCTTGATAATCAGTGTTGTTCGTTCATCGGAATGACTCATCTAAAAACGATAATCGTGACACTTAGCCGAAGAAAAAACTGTATATCGACTGTATTTGGTGCGTGCTTAAGAACTGATTATCATAAAGAACAATATGAAAGTTGCGCTGATGCGAATTGGGTTTATTGGGGCAGACGAAACTTATAGATAGGTGAGATTGGTTTCGCAAGAATACGGTATAGAGTGCAGAAAAAGCACACCTCGTATTTCTCACTGGCGACAATCGGAACGCCATGTCTGGTCCATACGATTACCGGTTCAGGGAATCCTCGGACTGTGGCCGATATGACTGCCTCATGTCCAGGATCAACTGTTGTTCGCTTTGGAGCTTCAGCAATCACTGGCGCTACCTCATGAGCACTTTTTTGTTCACTTCCTGAATGAATGGTGATCATTTGATATGGCATTCCGCGAGAATATTTCGATTAGCAAAAGCATTTCTTCAAGAATATTCTTTGAGAACAGCGACACCAGAACTGACGTCTTTCTGTTTGAGGAAATGACTGGAAATCGAGAATTATTCCGCCAGGACAATGACTAAACGAATAACACTTAGATGTGGGCCCTGCATACGGTAAGATGAACAACACTCACTCGCAACGGCAAGTCGCATGGTGCATTTCGCAGTACCAAATGTATTCTTTGCCTCACAAATGTATTCACCCGCATCCTCGGGGAATGCATCGGCTATGGTCAGCGTTACATTTTCGCCATCACGTGCGTATTTGAAGGCACTCGAGTCAGTGATTTCAACTTTATTTCGAAGCCAACGGATTGTTATTGGTTCGGTGCCTGCATAAGCAACAATTGATATGTGGCACTTTGTTGACTGATTATATGAAAAAAACTTGTTGAACACGTCATGAACTTTAGTATTACACCATTTCATTTAGCGCTAGAATGATGAATATTTTCTGCATCATGAAAACAGTTTATTGAGGTGATGAAAAATAGCACTTTTAAAGCAGTGATGCACGTACCTCCGATGAGTTCAGCTCGCAGCTGGATTTGATCACCGTCTTCACCTTTAATGATCTCTTTGATTTTCTCGACTCTGAATTTTGGTGGATTGCCTTCTTCGAGTGGTGTTGAGGCAGCACTTGAATCAACGTCCAACTGCATCTGAAAAAAAAGCTCAACGAATTTAACTAAAAAAGTCTAAGGTTGTTAAAATGGGAATACAGTTACTTTGATGAAATCCGTCAATGGAAACGATAACGAAATAAGACAAAGTGTTGAAATAACAGCAATGAAACGAACCGAAGTTTTCACACTACCAAGTTGATTCTCCGCTGAACAAGTGTATTTACCGGCATCGGCGACCGTTAAGCTTGCCAATTTGAGTGTTGAAGTTTCACCATCATATAGCATTGTATATCGATCATGCTGTGGTATTAAGATAGTATTATTACGATACCACGTGACCGATGGCGCCGGATATCCTGAGACGCTGCACTCCACACTTAACGCCTCACCCAGTACACCCTTAAATCAAACTCTTACAAGTTGTCCTTTCACTTTCATCATTGAAAGCGTTTGAGACCCTGCGACAGGAAATCTTCGATCGTTGGCTCGTATTTACTAACTGATTAACTATTTTATGTGATTGTATAGATTCGTTTATTAATATATTTAATAAACGTGGACCAGATTAAGGGAAGATATAACAGAGGAAAAGAGCTTTCTTCATATGCATTTGATTTTAGTCTTATAGGCAATGGATTAGAGTATGTTGTTGAGAGGATTAAGTAGAATACCTTGATTCTTCCAGGCAAAACCTCAATGAACGTGGGTTCTTTCGGTTGTTTCTTTGAGCGACGTTTACCTTCTTCTGCGGGTGTAACTTCAACTTCGGACGTGCATATTACAAAACCTTCGCTATTCGACGCGGTACAATTGTAGAAGCCTTCGTCGAACTTCGACACATGATGGACCTGCATAGTGCGAGAAGTTTATTCGATCGTGAAATCACACACGCATTATTTGTTGAGCAATTCTTCTTTCTTGAGAAGATAATGCTTTTTTTCTAATGCTATTCGGTTTCCCATCTTCGGGCCTACCGTAATCTTTGCTCATATACTACTGATCACTGTGGATAAATATATGTATTGTTCTAGCGCTAAGAAGTTTACCATCTTCAAGGAAACCGTACTCTCATTTCTGACCGATAACATATGAATATCTTGGCACTGTTCAATTGCCCAGAATCTCTAAGTTCAGAATATCATACGTTTTGCCGAGAAATTATGATTAGATGAAGAGGTAGGGCTATATTCTCAATTCTATATGGGTTGCCATCTTCGAGCATACCGTATGCTCAAGTTTGCCCAGTGTTCATATGAAAGAAAACATACGAAGTCTTAAATCATTATTGTGAGTAATGCTCACATAAGATCACGGTATGCTATGCATGAGCGATTTAGCACGCATGAAAAACGAAACTGAACTCAGCATCATTCGACTGCTTAAATCAGTGGTTCTCATAGGGGGTGAAATACCCACTTTGGGTAATTTGGGGGTGTCAAGGGATAATGGAGGGGGTCGGGAAATTAGTATTTCGTGCACGTTATGATAGCTTTTTTTAACTCGGGTATATGAACGTGGTTAGTTGATAGCAACACTCTTCATCGTCCTATTTTCTAAGTTTCATTGGCTCGTGCGGGCCTAACAGGGCTTCGATTTGTTTTAGCAGGGTTTTCATTCTTTTCCTTGCTGTTGCAATCGCTCTCATAGCTTTTATCACCAAAAGTGTTCACTTCTGCTAAATTCTCATTCATTTCACTCAACAATTAAAGTCAGATTCTCATTCTATAAAATACACTTTATGATTGATCATTTCACTGTCGAACGTTGTTGAGCAATAATATTCGATTGCTGTATTGTTGATTTTGGCTGTCAACACTCGTCAACGTATTCAGTGAATACTATATGCTACAGAATAAGAAATTGATTTGAACTGTGAAGTGAAATGAAACGAAGTGAATGAGAAAAACTAATGAAGAGAACGATATTCACATGCAACAGCTATGAGAGTGAATAGAACACGTCCGAAAAGAATGAGAATTCGCTTAAATCAGTTTGAAGTAAGCGTGTCATAGACAACAGCTTTTCATGCAATCATAGTCGATTGCAATGATGAGCAATGCAATAGTCTAGGACAATGGTTCTCACAGGAACTCAATTTACCCGTTTTGCGTAATTTGGGGGTAACAGCGGCCTGCCGGATCGTCAAAACGGGTAATGAAGCACCCAAACGTCAGAACCACTGACTTAAATTGTTCTGAGTTGCAAAAATAAGACAATGAGCACAAACCTCCAAGTAATAGAAGTCGCCATCGTTGTAGATCGAGTATTTATTGCCAGTTTCCAAAATAACACCTGCTTTATCCCAATGTACGATTGGCGTTGGATTTGCCGATATTGCGGTTTTCAGTCGAAGTGATTTGAACTCTTCGATTGATTTCTTTGTTTTTGGTTTCACCATAAACTTCGGTCGACATGGCTGTTTGTTACGAGCGGCAATGGCCGAGCGTATTTCCTCGAGTGCTAAAACAGCATCGTTCGAGGAAACCTGTTCAGAAGCGGAAGAGGTTCCAACTAACTGGACCCAAAATCGTTGCGCTATTCCAGATTCATTTCAACGAATTATCTTGTAATGGTCAGGTAACTCAAAGCATAACTATGAATATTCTTACATGTTACGTCGCCGAGTGTTTTCGATGTACCCGGTTTTTCATCGGCAAGTGTTTCAGCGAATTGGATCGACTGTTTCAAGCCTTTAGCTGCGCTACCTCGACCGGGAAGCCGGTGATGTCTCTCTGCAAAATTGAAACAAAATGAAACGACAAAATCATTAGCCTACGCAAGCATCGAGATCAGAATTTCCAAGGAGATTCATTTCGGAANTCAGCCATCCATCACTTGCAATACAATAAAGTTTCGCACTAAAATAAACACTTACTTTGAGCAAGCTTTCCAGCGAGAGCAGCTGAATCACCTTCGCGAAGTTCTATATCATGCAATCCTAATATGAATTTAGGTGCCGCTCCTTTCCTCTTACTTTCCTGCTTCACATATTGCCTTTGAATTTCAACCTAAACATCTTGACGTGCTATACTTGAAAACTTCTTGACGACAGCATTGAAACAAACTGGTTTAAAATAAAAGATTCAGCTCAGAAATTATTCGGTCAAGTTACCAACTAGATGGGAATTGACAAAAGCAGCTAACTTACACTCTGATATTCAGTTTGCTCGGAAATAAGATGCGTCGACGCCACAACTGACAATGAGCTGTCATCAGGTCCTGAAACATTTCCTCAAAAATGAGCATTTGTAGCCGCAAGTTGCCGACGAAGTAGCCAGCAGCATCGAATTAGTACACGAACAGGAGTGATATAGGAAAATTTGAGGATTTATCCGGTCATCGAGGTTACGAGTTAATGAATGCTCCGGTCAAATAAAGAAAAGCGAAATGACATTGGGGAATGTGACGAGTGAAAAACCTGCCTTGGAAGAATACTGGTGGTTTGGTATCTTCGCGACGTTGACCGACGTTCAACGATGCGGTTGTACGTAGTACACCGTGAACGTTGGACGCCTCAACTGAATACGCTCCGAGATGACGTAAACCAATGTTGGAAATTTTCAACTCGCATCGAGACGCAGAGGTATAGGTAATCTGAAATGTTATGCTTGGATGAGGCCTTTCAAAACTGCATCTCATTCAATATAGTTCGTTCTATATGTGATATTTCTNACTTGTTATTAGTAGGTGAATAAGAAGTTTTCGATATTACAGGTGTTGTGGGATACAATAGAGCGAGCTGCACATCAGGTGGATCAACTTGCCTGAATGTCTTTATCCTCAACAACTTTCTCATCAAAGTGATACCAGGCCAGTTCGGGTAATGGATAACCACCAACTTCAATCTCAAACGTCACATCCTTTCCTAATGGACTCCAAATATCACGAAGACATCGCAGGAAACGTGGTGGTCCAGCTGGTTCATCGGTAGGCTCTGCAAGATGATTTCACTGTTAATCAAACAAACACGAGTCGCCTCAGCATATGATAGCCCAGAGAACCATCATTTGAATGTGAGAGTGATCCGATTCCATTAAAGATTCAGGCACTCGACCAGAAAAGCTCATGTGTAGGCGTACCTCCGACGAGAAGATAACATTGCGAGATCGCTTTGCCGTGTTCGTTGATCGCAACACATTGATAAGTACCCTGATGAGTGCTAACAGCTGAATCTGTTTTCAGCTCAGATACTTCACCTCTATGACATTCAACCCATGCTGATCCAACGGTTGTCTTCAGTTGAGTCATCTTGCGCGAATCATCAACGAAAAACCACTGAAACAGTGTTTGCTTGGTTCTCAACGAAAGGATTGCATAGATCAGCATTGAAATACACAAGATCAATGGCAATTCATTGGGAAAAAAAGCCCAGTACCTAATGTCCTCAAAGTCTTAGCATGTTCAGAGTGTACTGTTACCACAAAATATGGCAGATCATTGATGAAGGAATAGGTACCTTAAGTTGTGGCTCAGGCACACCGTGCACTTCACATTTCAGCACAACCGGATGCCCGACTGCGACGCCTTTGTCAACAAGATCAACCGTGAATGATGGGGCTTCTGCTTTTGGTTTCTTATGCAGATGAGCTGAAGAGACACAGAGGAATTACTAACGCAGATTACTAACGTAGATTTCATTTGCAAGTACTTCAATCCTAAAATAACACAGGAAGGAACGATGCCTCAGATCGAAATGAAACATTTTAGTGGTTGTTCATGAGAATGCTGAAATTACGGATGATTGAGCCTGAGTATTCTCAACTTTCATCGGTGCTCAATAGAAATAACTGAGGAGTCGTGTTGCCGGAAATATAGGCAGTTCAAATGCACTCACTGTGTACAATCAGTTGTGTCTCAACCGATTCTTCTCCTTCTGCATTCTTCGCGACACATGTGAAAATACCCGCTGACTTAGCGACAACACAATCAATTGTGAGCACAGATTCGCCTTCACCAGTCAAACGAATCTCGTAATTTCGAGTTCTTTTCGATATCTGAAGTGTACCATAACTAGTTCAATGTGCAGAGCAAAATGTATGTCGTAATCATACTGTTATTAAGCATCTTGATAAAAGATCATTCTCTATAAGTAAATCGTTTTCTGAACGGTTTTAATTTTGCATGATTTAAATCACCTCTTTTCCATCCTTCTTCCAAACAACCGTTGGACCTGGTACGCCGACTGCTCGGCTGACGAGTTTAACCTGAAATCAGCAATATGAGTGGATCATCTTGCAAGCTTCTCAGATTCAATCCACAATTCTATCCAAGTGTACATAAACCATCACTGAATTAAGAAGTATTGGAACAATAAGCGGTCCTCAGATGTCGTCATATAAATACTACGTGAAACGATAGTTCAGAACTTCAGATTGTTCAGAACAATGTAGATCAGCTGCGACCAAAGTGGATTTTAGAGTGTCATAATAGGCATTTACCTTAGATCCTTCGATAGTTTCAACAACTGGCGCAGGAGCACGTGTGAAGTATGGCTTGCGATAGAGTTTCTCCTTATCTTCGGCCGTTATCAAATGCGAATCTGGGCCAGCTTGTTCAGCGATTGTCAGCATTGCTTGTGTACAGTCAACACCAAGTGTATTATGTGCCGAACACTGCAATATTGCGAATTTTAAGTGAGCACGTTGAAGCATTCAGAAGTGAATGTACTTTCTTTCCAAGCAAATGTAATTTTGATCTTATTGCTGAAAAACTGGTTTCATAAGTACTTTCAAGTGTAATCATTGACTACCACCTATGGATGCATATTTTAAAATAATTTATACCAAATAAACTCCAGTGTCAGCACTGTTGCAATTGGTTATTGCCAACGAGCACCAGCCGTCTTCAGCAAAACTAAGCTTAAGTCGACGACTTGTGCTCAATCGCTCACCATCCTTCATCCAAATCGCCTGTAAAATTGATTTTTCTCAGTTCAAGAAGCATGCTCTGAAGGCAGTATCAAAGTTCCGTTCTATTAAATCTTAACTGTGCACAGATAAACATTTTCGATAAAATTAAGAAGAGTTCGATAATCAATAAAACGAGTTACCTGCGGATCTGGAGTACCCACAACACGACACTTCATGGTGACGTTTGAGCCAGCCAATGCTGTTTTCTCTTTCAGTGGTATNNNNCAGTGTGATTTTTAAAGAAAGAGAAGTTGAAAAAGGTTCACTCTCATTTTTCATCGTGATTCAATCTTGAAAACCCATTCAATGTTCAGTTGAAGAGGTTCAAGGCGAAAAATTTTCGCCCCACAGATTACAGAATATGGATGGATGATATCAGCTGCAGAGTATTACTAACGGAAAAGTGATTGACTGAAAACACACCTCACAAGATGACTGCACAATACCGATAGCGTTTGTCACAACGCATAAATAAGTACCAGAATCGTTGATGTTTGCATTATGGCACACCAATCGATAGATTCCAGCGTCTTGAGTTTGGATCTCGAATCGACCAGATCCACTGAAATATCGTTCATACTCAAGTAAATTCGCAATTGCAGCAATGCAATTCAATTGAATCGTGAAGCTCATAAGCGATCGCCGTTTTATGGGAATACATATGGAAACGTTAACTTACGTGATTCTCTCGTCATCTTTGAACCATGCGGCTTGTCCTTTCGGATTCGCCATCACTCGACATGCAAGTGCGAATTGCTGCCCGGCTGATGTGGTCTCATTGGCCAACTGCTTGAGCACTTCAGGCGCACTTCCTGTTTGCCTTCTTGTAGTGACCTCCTCGACCACTTCTTCGGCAACCTGAACGATCATGAGCATGATGAGATGTTACAGAAATATCATTGAAGAGAGCTCAAGAAGTGAAGGAAACAGCTCAGTTGATTAGACATCACCAAAATGATGTTCTGCAAGCATTTATGCTAAACGTTTAGATATTTGTTCAAAGCGATTCATATGTTCACCTTCTTTTTGGCTGCGATTTTCACGACAGTTTCATCGGCCACATGTCCAGATTCGTTTTCGATATGACACGAATAAATGCCATCGTCAACACCAGGCTTGCAGTTTGAAACGGTCAGCGTTGATTCACCGCGTTTCTTACCAGCAGTTATTGCTACATTGCTCTTCTCAACGATCTCTTTATTATTGTGATACCAACGCACTGTTGGTTCTGGTTCACCACCGTACACAGCATGAAGTTCGAATGATTCAGATTCATTGACGAACTTGATCGAGTCGAACGCCTTTTTGAACAGTGGTTTACTGCCAGCAGACAGTGTCTTGGCTGGTGATGACATGGTTGCATAGTCACCATAACCGGCCTTAACATACCATAAATTATACTAGAGTCGAAAATTGAATGCATACTTATGGAGGTAACTGAAGGAACACGCGTAGTTCAAGGAATAAATGCAGAGTAGAACTAAAATTTGCGAAAGAGTTTTTAGAACAGAACGAGGAATTTGCCCAACAACGACAACATTAACCCCAACACGACGATGAGAATTTGGAAATGCTTATCTTTCAATCGCAATTACTAGCGATGAAATCAAAGAAATATGCTGCTTCCTCTATATGATACCTTATTCTTTGCTGATACTCTGAAGAGATATTCAGTGTTAGGTTGTAAATTCTTGACATTGTATTCGGTTGTTGGACTATGACCGAGTTCTGACCATTCACGTTCATCAGGTCTGTAAGTTTCAATAATGACTTTTTCATAACAACAACAACAATTTCAATATGCAGAGAGTCAACTAAATGAGGGTCAACAAACAATGAAGAAACCTTCGCTGTTCCACTTTATATTCTTCGGTAGTTGCACCTCCATCGTCAGTTGGTTTGCACCAACGAACGATAAGAGTATTTGTAGTGATCTCAGTGCACAATGGCTCTTCGCTTGGAGCGTTCGGTGGAGAAATCTTTCTCTTCAAGGGCTTCGCTACTTCCTCTCGCCTGAAACATTTCTTCCTGAGGATAGCAACAAATTAAGGTCCCTTCTTAGATCTTAGTTGCGCTCTCAATTTCAACACTTGCTACTACGGTATAGTAAACTGAGCTGTACAGTAAAAATAATTGTCTTCTACGAATTCCAACATCATAGGAAACACTCTCACTTTTTATCCACAACTTTGACCATGACAGTTGTTTCGGCTAAGCCCTTTTCATTCTCAGCAACCACCGCGTATTTTCCCTGATCTTCAGCGGTCACCTTTGCAATAACCATTTGATGGCTGATGCCATCTTTTTTGATCGTTAGCTTATTCTTATCCAGCTCCTTATCATCTTTCAACCATTTCACTGCAAGGGAANGATAAAAATTGTGAATGGCGATTTTATTATGATGAGAGATGTTGAACGGAAAACAGCTTGCGATTCAGTGGCTGAACGTTACCTTCTGGTTCTGGTCGACCACTGATGTCACAGACGATGCACAGCACACCGTCTTGTTCTACTGAGATATCAGTCGGGGGCGGAACAACGAACTGAGGCGCTGAGACAGCAGCATGTACCGGTTCTGAAATTCGATATCAAATTAGCTTAGCACAGGATAACTATTGGAAACCAGGAAAGGAAAATTCCATGAAGTATCAGAAGTGATGTGCTTTCTTTCTGGTGGTTTCGTTTAGGATATTGAAAGCGGACCTTTATTGATAAGAGACACTTCAGCGTTTGAATGTGCGTCGCCGTAGATGTTATGTGCGACTGCCGTGTACGTACCACAACGTTCTGGTGTTAAATTTGCAATTTCAAGTGCACATACACCGTCATCAAATGCCCTCGAGCGAGCACTGCTATCCTCGTGAATAGCTCGACCATTGAATAACCACTGGACATCAGGTTGAGGCATTCCGTGCACCTGAATTCACATATGCCAAACACACAAAAAATGAGAGGAAACAGTCGAAAAGGATGATGCAAAGAAATTGAACTCACTTGACAAGTCAGTGCAATTGAATCGCCTTCATTTTTCACTTTAACGCTTTGTAATTTCTTGACAAACTTAGGCATGTTCTGTACGTGATCGTCTTGACCCGGTTGTTCTGAAAAGAAAACTTGTCCGAATTTCACGAAATCACTTATGAATGTGTCGATCCGCTTCACTTTAATAATGCTCGCAGTGCAAAAGTTAATTTGGCCAGATTACTTTTGGTGAAGTTTGACTAAAAACTTCACACGGCTTCTTCTGATGTATCTCTTGATCAATGAAAAATGTACTAACGTTGAACGATAACAGTGCATCGCGTTTCAACCGTTCCCAGGTCATTGGTAACACGACACAAATACTGTCCTTGATGAACTTCGTGTGCCTCATAGATTTTCAACATGGCGACACGTCCATCAAAGTACGTTCTCAACGTTCGACTTTCCGCAACCAATTTGCCATCCAAATACCATTCAACAAATGGCTTCGGATTGCCATCAACCTCAACTTC